AGTGACTGTCAGCTGCATTTATGCGATTAAATTAACAACTTCATATACTTCATACTTACTTACACAGTCCACATTGTGTGATCTGAATCAAAAAAGATAGGAGGAATATTCCACATGTACTAAAGTCAAACATTATTTCGTCCATGGCCAGACTCAATTGTGTATCCGCACACGTCAATAAACGCACGCTAATGTAATAAGACCCTAAAATGTTAGATGAGTGGCAGAATAATATTAGGTTTCATTCTGAAATAAGTTAAATGGTTCATTACACTATTAAAGACTATTGCTCCATTTACACGTCCATGATATAGTGATAGGGTAATACCAGAATATGACACAAATCAGACATGTTTTCCCCGATGTGGGATGTGGCAGATGAAATGTATAAACCACCAGATCTTTACATATTAATGATGTTGATACCACCAGTTTGGACGACCTTTGCAATACAAACCAAACTGCAAATGGATCAATTAAAATTTCAATGTAAATAACGGGCAGTAATGTAGTTAGTTCATGAATATGAATGGTTAGAGTATGAAAAACGTGACTAAATATATTGCCCCCGATTTATGGCAACTATATAAAATTAATGGAATTTAATCTAAAACTAAAGTATAATTGAAGTGGATTTTTTTTACCTTACTGTTGTTTAATTACAATTCAACTGTGCTAATCATCATTTAATTGTTTACAGCACAGCATCCCAGCAGCAACACGACATACCAGACACTACGTGACATGTAATGAACGGTCCCTAACGTTATATATACAGTACACATTGTATGCACATATAATATATTGTATATTTTTTAACAACAGTAAAATGAAATATTGTCTACTGTATATGGATATTTAGCAACTCCAGTCCTAAGTCAATATCCCAGGCTTCCATGCAGGCCTGCAAATCACCACATGCATGTGATGTATATAACAGTAATTACCTAATGCAGTGCCGTATTGGATATAAGAGAATGTAAAACATAGGCCATGTCAGAAACCTGAAACATGATGATCCCCGGGGACAGATCTTAAGCTTGTAATTGTGCCATTGCCATATACACTATTATATGCATTACATTAATATAATTAGATACTACATATTAAGTACTCATAAATGACATGTGTATGTGCCAAAAAATGTATTCGAATTGCTTTTATAATGAGCCTTTCATTCTGATTATGTTTCTTCAATGTTTTAATACGGTAAATGTCAAATGCAATGTAGATTTAAAAGGGTCTTTAATTGAAACAACATTAGATGATTTATCCCGAACCCTGTCAGCATGCAGCCACTGACACCAGGCACCATCTCTGTTTAATGGGCCTCTCTTATCGGAGGCCATCTCTTTTGTTAGACAGATGAAAGACTTGAGAACAATAGCATAGAAAGTCAATAGCATGAATGAGTTTCTTGCACTGTAGAGGTGATGTTGTAAAAGGCACATCAACATAAGCATTGCCTTGTTGCAATACTGCAGTCAATGCAGAGGTAAACATTGACTGTAAATGTTTTGAGAGCCTAGGATGATATTTATCTTGTGCTGTATAAAGTTCATGGGCAGTCATCTCTTTGACTATATCATTAAATTGACAGCGCTAAACACATGCAAAGAAAAAACTGCTCCGATCAGCATAGCCTCTAAATATGGCGTTCCTTACACAGGTTATTATTGATTATACAAAAATGCCTTTTAAGAGAATAAATATGTAATTAATGTTTTAATTTCAAACCTAAATTGCAAAAAAAAGTTTCAAGGTTTTTGATGTGTGGTTATACATTATACGCACATTTGATTGGTTTTCTAAACATTACTTTGCATACTCTTTGGTTCTTTCGGTAAAGTCACGTAGGTGATTTATTTTATTTTATACCTACGTGACTTTACCGAAAGAACCAGAGTATGGATTCCTGCAGTCTTCAAATCAAGATTGCTTTGCATGATTATTCGAGTACAGTATTGTATAGCGCTGATGATTGTAATCCTGAATTTCCATTCTGAGCTTATATCTTAGCTCACGTCTCTGCACGTTACGGCTACAGTTTATTCTGGAATCTGTGTTGTGTTTTTTCTCTCCCTTCGATCTCTCAGTGCAATACCAGGGTCAAAAGACCTCATGGGAAAATCTCTGGCGACGCCTGAACCGCCTCCACACATAAAGTCCACAGGGGGACACTTTAAATGGCACAGTGAATTGTTTTGACACCATAGTGCAGTGTCACGATGTACACAGCTAAGTGTTTTAATGCTACAACAGTGTTGGCAAGTCTTCGGCAGTGTGTGTTCAAGCCAGTGGTCGTGTTCGGAAGCCTACAGTGCAGTGTTTTGATGCGACAGGGGAGCTTTTGTAAGTATATACAGTGGTGAGGATTTTATTGCCAAAGTAGGGCGCGTTAAGACTGTGCACTGTACAGGGGTCGGCGACTTGCAAAGCAAAACCCATCGACCAAGCCCAGAACGTCACTGATCTGTCTGCCGCAAAGAGCTGACAATAACATCTGCTCCTGGCGTCGTATGCTAGAAAAAGAGCCGTGCACAGCTGACAATCTTAAGCACCATTCAATTGTAGAGCCTGTTTCCACAAATGGTCATCAGTGGTCTGACTACCTTGGTATATGACGGATCCAAAATGACAATGAGTCCAATTCCAAGCATGAACGTATCTGTGCACTTCTTTGATTACCCTCCGTGGGGGCATCGATTTAACATGAAACCAAAAGAACACATTGGATAAGGTTACCATTATAATGCTTATGTTAGCCGGTGGGAATAGGGAATTGTATTGGCCAAGTCTCATTACCGGTTGTGTCCGAGATGCTGTACAAGATGCCTCTGTAGACCCAACCCAAATGAATGAAACACGCCCAAGAACTGCACAAGGAAGTCAAGTTAGCATCACACCACGGGAGCTAATGCACTGTACTTGTCACTTGTTGTCAAGTGGTAAGAAAGTTAGACACTTTTATATTCAAGGGGGGGGGGGGGGAAAGTACCGTACTCCTAGGCTACTGGATAGCAGGTGCTCGCGTAAGTAAAGAAATGGCAATATTAGTGATAATTGTGTAACTTTTTAAGCCGACCTAGGGAGGTAACTGCAAGTGTTCACACATACACAACAGCTGTGTTTGAATGTTGTTTAAATACAGTAGCCATGGACATCTATAAATTGTATAATTAAGAGAAATTAGTACCGTAAACACCTTTTCTAGCCAACCTAAGGGAGGCAAGGCGCATCCAAACACTCATTAAAATCACCATGCCGGTGGAACGTATGCGTCTCTGTTGAACTTCTTCCGCGCCGTACACGTAGCCATCCGCGCCAATCGGAGGTGCTAGGTGGAATGACAACTTAACACACGAATAAGAGACCTAGGAGTTGTAGCACAGTTTGGGGGGGGGGGGCACATCTGTGGTAGGTGAGCCGACGAGGAGAACCGTGAACTAAGAGACAAGCGTAGGGCTACAAGAGCAATCGCCTCCACCGGTCACCCTTCGCCCAAGGGCCACGTGAAATGTTGACGTCTATTGCAGAGGGCAACCAACCTCCCAACAACCAACCACCATCACCAACAACCACCGATTCGTCTTCAAGTTCCTTAACTCAATAAGAAGACGGTAAAGAGGAGGAGGGGGGGGGCTTGTATTTCTCCAGCGTAGACCGTGATAGCAAGGAGGCGCGCGGTGCTGTTATCCTCCAAATTGTCAATGAATGAGAGCAAGCTACCGGCATCGCCTTAAGGTGGCGAGCACAAGTTTGGCCGTACCAACTTAATTCCGTGAACACAGCGTGAATTATGTCAAATGGTTTGGTGATGACGGGGAGTTGGGACACCACTCACCGTCTGTCTGCTCTGCTCTGCGGCTCGAGGCGGCTCAGGGGGATCCTTTCCGCTGCGATGCTGCTCCCCTTGGAACGCGGTCGCGCACCATCTCCTTCTTCCCGCTTCCTCTTCCCTAAGGACGAGCTGCCATGAGGGGATGCCCCCAGGTCACAATTTTTTTTTTTAAAAACTGCGCCCCGAGACGCTTCGTTACGCTACAGGACGCAAGGTAAAGCACAGGCGCTGTGCTGGTACTATATAGTAATTATAATACCTTATCTTAAGCGACTCTGAGCGGCGGGGGGGGGGGGAGCCAAGCCCCTTGACGAAGATACTTTTTTTTGTCTATCAATGTATTTAGACGCACGATAAGCGAGCCGCGCGCGTAGCCGCACACGCGAGAAATAAAACTGAGGCGAAAGTGCGGGGAGGAGGAGGAGAGGCGACCCCCCCCCCCCCCACGGCTGGCCCCACCCCCCACGGCTGGCCCCACCCCCCCGGCTGCCCCCACCCCCCACGGCTGGCCCCACCCCCCACGCCTGCCCCCCCCCCCCACGGCTGCCCCCCCCCCCCACGGCTGCCCTCCACGGCTGCCCCCCCCCACGGCTGGCCCCACCCCCCCGGCTGCCCCACCCCCCACGGCTGCCCCCCCCCCACGGCTGCCCCCCCCCCACGGCTGCCCCCCCCCACGGCTGCCCCCACCCCCCACGACTGCCCCCCCCCACGGCTGCCCTCCACGGCTGCCCCCCCCCCCCACGGCTGCCCCCACCCCCTCCTCCTCGTGCTCGTCATCACTCAATCCGCGTCGCGCGTTTTTTTGAGCGCGCGTTTTTTTTTTGTGTCCCCCCGTCCACCCCCCTCCAACTCTCTCCTCCCGCTCTGCTAACAACGAGGGGGGGTGGGGGGCGGGAGGGAATTAATCTTCCGGAAGAGGGCAGAGAGGTCTTCCGGAAGTCGGTAGAGATCTTCTGGAAGAGGTAGAGCCTTGAAACGTAAACAATACTCTTTTAAAATCCCAACCCCGCCCCTCCTCGCTCCGCCCCCCCCCTGGCCCAACCCCGCCCTCGGCCACATCCGCGATCTCATTGGCTGTTGCCGTTTAAGTTGCTTGGCTACTATTGGTTGAAACCGCCGCTAAGCCACGCCCTTATTATTTAAGCCCCTCCTTCTCGTTCACTCTTCGCTCCGCCCCCCCCCGGATAGCGGCCACGTGAAATAGTTAAAACGTGACGCGGTACAGTGCACTCTGTCCGGTCTAAATGAATGGATGCGATGCATTTATTTTAATTTATTTGTTTTTATTCCAAGTGTGTTTTTTTCTTCCATTTAAATTAGCCAAGGATTGTGTGTCGTCTCCGTCCAGTTGATTTCGTCCGGCCACCAACATTGACGGTCGTTTCACGTTGAAAGCCGTCGCGCGTTTACCGTACTGTATTTCCGTATATCCACGTTGGCAAGTCGTTTCTTTGCCGGTCAGTTGTAATTGTCGCATTCGTCTTAATTGCCAATTCTCTTGGTCGCTTCCCTTTAAAATATATAGCGAGAGAGACTGCTGTTTTGCAATGGCGGTCGCGAAAAGAAAAGCTCCTACCCAGGACAATTCGTCGAAATATGAAAATGCCAAGGTACTGATGAGTGATGTAAGCACACAGCAACACGGTAAACGGGTGAACGTGCAGCCCGGAAATTGTTTGCTCGCGCCTCTTGGCTACAGGGGCCTCCACTAGAGGGTGCTCGAGAAAGCCCCCCCCCCCCCCCCTCGATCTCTAGAGAGCCCCTCCTAAAGGGCGTTTGGCCTACTCTTCCACGCGGGACAGACACAAACAGGCTGCGCGATAAAAGTAATAAAAACTTGCAAATTGTTTCAATTTCCGCCCCAGGAGATGGAACCGGTGACCTGGATTGCAACACGAGTGTGGCTAACCATTCCTCCACGGCCGCATCCCTCCACAGAGTATTATAAGCTAGTCAACAACCGGAACAGACTGATAACCATCATGGGACTAATTTCCACTAGACACCCCTGGCTTAGGATAAGCTATGAAGATGATCAAAACATTGTATGGGTGGGTCTCCCTTGGAAAGGAAACGTTTGTGAGTGGCTTATTACAATATTTTTAATACGATTGTATGCGCAGATTTCGGAACTTAAGTAGGATTTTGCACTTAAGTTCCGAAATCTGCGCATACAATCATCGTATTTTGCACTTGGATGTTACGTGGGTGGGCAACCACAATCCATGAAACCGGTGCTAGAGCCTTCAGTTGGTTGGCAACAGATGGCAGTGGAGAAATATCCATTGTACTGGGCTATGTTAACATCCTATGCTCCATGCCTACACGAATCCGCGCTGACCAGCCTAAAAAAGTATAGTGCACGTAACCCACACAGTTTGTCGATTGGGGAGGGTCCTCATCCTTCAGTAGATTGTTAAAAGTCTGTGCATGTCCACGTACGCGAATACAACAGAGCAGGGGTGGGCACATTTTTTTTGACTCGCGGGCCACAACGGGTTCTAAAATTTGACAGAGGGGCCGGGCCAGGAACAGATGGATGGAGTGTTTGTGTGAACTAATATAAATGACGTGTTAAAAATCATTACATGAAAGGATTTGGCCTTTAACAGGTAGCAAAGCATTTTTTTGCAAGGCAATTTAACAAATTGCACGAACATGAACAGTACAAAAACATGTCTTAACTCCCGGTCAAAGCGCGCCATCTAATGGGGGAAATGGGGGCATTACAGGAGAAAGGTAAAATTTAATTTAATAATAATATTTGGACAAGTTCGTCGGGCTGGATTAAATAGCCCAACGGGCCGTATACGGCCCGGTGGCCGTACTTTGCCCATGTCTGACATAGAGCTGTAATGACCGCTGAAATGCCATGGCTGAGATATGAGTCGATTGAGCGTGAGTGCGCATAACTGTGATAACACAAGTTAAAATCCTGACCAGGGTAAACTTGACCCTCACATCATCTTTGTCATGCCTCTGGTGTAGTAAAATATTAATGAACCACTACCCAGCGAGGCTGCACCATATGATGGTAATACAAAAAAATTTGATGTACAGTACTTTGGATGGGATGGGCCCCATATAGCCCAGTTCTCATTTGAGCAAAAATAAAGTACTTTAAATGAAAAGCTCGATCGATGTATATTTTAATTGGCATGAGAAGGACGTGACTGGATGTCGAGCAGGTATCTTAATTGCAATGGAAGGTGAACTTGTCAGTGCAATTGGGATGAGGTGATGTTTGGGTGGTCCCAATGTTTAGTGATAATATACCGTCAAACAGGACATGCCAAGCCCATTCGTAGAACGCTTTTGAACGCTTCTGATTTCAGCTTTTAAGTCTGAATAAAATTTAGTACCGTGTATCTCAGTTTATAATACAGATATCTGACTTTATAAGATGCAAGTCATGAATACATCTTTGAATACATCTTTGAATACACATTACATGAAGGAATGGGTTTTGGTCTGGTGACTGCATCCTTGCGTTTCGATTAAACATTGCCCATAAATGCCAAGATCAAACCTGGCCTTTAAGGTTGTGAAACATCCATTACTGTTTCTATGCTAGCCATGCATGTCTTATTCATACGCATACATTTTTAATCAGTTCACAATATGTTTGGGGCGACCGCGTCACCCGGCATGACGCACACTCATGACCCGAACTTTCATTTTGTCACAATTGCCATATTCTCCAAATGATCTCCAGGCTCATAGCTTTGGGAGGCTCACGTCAGCATGGACATTCCTGTCCATACTCATTAATTGTTCCCCCTTTTAAAATGGGTCGGTAGGCACGTGATGTCTCGAGAGACTGCGGAGCGGCAACTTGACCGTGAATTCCTCATTCGCCCTCGTACCCTTCTACCGACCCTCGCTGACCCGTCGGGTATCGTCGCCTCAGATCTCCAAATGTTGGAAAGCATTCATCCTGTCCTAGGCAGGTTGTGCGAGAGACACTGCAATTGCTCTCATTCTAAAACGTTCACAAAATAACCCCCAAACTGTGTTGTTTAGAGGTGATTGAGAACGACCTACGGTTTTGAGCATTTAAACAAAAATGTAATTTTTTTTGTATGTAGATTTACAATGTCTGCAATTACAAGAACCCCAAAAGGCAGATGATTAACGTAAAAAAACCCACATTGCTTGCGGATGTGCATAATAATTTTTTCAATAAATTTAGTGTAAATAGGATATTTGCACAAGTTACCGTCGGCACCTGATGCTGTTACATAAGCCACCAGAGTAATGTGTATGCCTACTGTTGTTTCATATATTTTTTCAAAACCCAAAGCGTGGAGCCATACAACCCCTCCAATACTCTCAGTCGCTCACGCCCTCCAGAGTGAATTAACTTACGGACTACAGGAGCCCTACCTCTCCATCTTGTTGAAAGTCTTCCCCTATGGCCTAGTTACCCTTGGTTTATACTTACTGTACTCCATGATTCTCCTGGGCAGCCTTTCATCTGCTATTCTTCAACATTGAGCCAACCACCTCAGTCATTTTGTCTATCACCACTGTCTTTCCCTGAATTCATGGGCTACTGTTTTGTCTCACTATCATATTTGATTGAGAGTCATTCCACTCTACTTCAGCTTACCCTTGAGTGCTCTCATCTCCACTGCCTCCAGTCTACTAACATCAGTTTTATTCAGTGTCGCTCATCACTAACCCATATCGTAAGACTGCTTTAACACTACTCGCGTGCATTCTGGTAACATATCTTTGTTTCCGTCGGTTTTGTAGCTTCTGTGCTGCTGTTACTGTCGCACAACACAGCGTTATAGGTTTTGATGATTTTATTTCACCTTTGGGACAACAAAAATGTTCCGCAATGTCACTAAGTAGATGTAAATACTACTGTGTGCAAATTGTGCTGCAAAAAGCACCTGCATTTCACGGTCTGAAAAGTGTGGTGTTCATCGGAGAGTGATGGAGCGATCGTGCCCCAGGTTCTGTCCAGGTCACGTGAAACCAGTCGGCAGGGAGAGCGGAGAGGAGGCGAGGGGAGAGAGACGTCAAGCGTGGCGGGAAGGAGTACTCTGAGGCCCCTCTCGTGCCTCCTGTCTGCGGGAAAATACGCGCTGTTCCTCCTCTTTCTCCCGCCCTTCCTCAACTACGCCTCTCTGCAGAGAGAGGCCAAGATGCTGAAGCCAGCAGGTACACACGGCATTGTCAGTGTCTTAACTAGAAGCCACCCGTCTCTTCCACGATACCACTGAGCCGCATTGGGGACGTGACGAGCCAGCCCAACGCAGCCCAGGAGACACCGGGTTTATTTGTCCCTCTGGAAGTCGAGCTGTGGCACTGACGTCACACGCAATGAATCATTGGGAATGCTTGCAGATGACATGGTGTCACAGTGTCTGTGCAGTGTACTGACACGTCGTATGAAATAAACACGGCATTAGCTGCCCTACTTCTGGTCCAGCTTGGGCCCGAGCCACATTCATATGTCTTGGTGTGAGGCCACCTACATCATGGTTTGGTGCGGGTTCGGCATGGCAAATAGGCAGTGGAAAAACCATGTGTATAATGAGGGTAACGCTCTGTCTCAGCTCAGATGTGCCCAGTTGAAAAGGGACATGAGATTGACACAGCCTAGCTGCCTGGGTATTTTTTTTAAAGGACTGCACTCCTTGTGGGACTCAGGTCCATCGAGACTGGCTGTTTAGTCTCATCTGCACTGTATCCAACCACCACACTGCAGGTCAAAACACATCTCATTTTGCTTCATTGCACGCACTGCTCGACTTTGGAATTCCCTCCCATCGTCTTCTTTTTTCAAGGTCTCATAACCTTGCTCAAACGAAGAAATGCATTGAATCTTAAGTATTACACTTTTAAATGTGCTGTTTATTCAAGTGCCTGAATAACTCGCCGTTTTTTTTACATAAACGGTAGAACAACGATACGTTACTTAGATAATGCAGGGTTCTTTTTGTCAGAAAGAAATTCTGCCCCTTGCATTGACAAGGAAATCAAATCAATTTACACGCAAACGCAATTTTTATTAATTGAGCAAGGCATTGTGCTTCCCCGCTCGTAGTAAAGGTTGTTATTAATTTACAGAGAAATTACTTGGTTTTTCGTGTCCCCTGAGATGCACATGGCAGTGGCGCGCAATAAATAAAGTCCGTGTAAAGAAATCCACCGGATGCTATTTTAAAACCCTACGAGATTACCTTGCGGCAGTAGTCCCTTTATTGACTTCAAATTTGGAGGCAAAATATGTTTAGCATTTCACCCAGGGCTACTGAAATACAAGAGCGCTCGGTGAAAAGGTTTGTGATTCGGTATCATTGCCACTAGTTACCATTTAATTATTCATTCGAGAGGTGCTCTGGATTCCAGCTTCAAAGGAAGCCAGGATATATTGGGCTACATTCACCTATCCTCAAAATACCAATGAGTATCCAGATAAAGGTTGTCTTTATTAATACCACATGAGAGACCTATGCATCTATATTGAAGAAAGGAAAGGTCATGAAATGCTGTTGTTTTTTTTATTGCACCTCTGCTCATATTTTTTTGTTATTGGATGCCCAGATTGCTCAGATTGCAGTATGGTATTCCAATGTATACCCGACTACACTCATCATTTTTTTCCCCTTTATACCATATGTGAGCACATTTTCTCTAGACTGAACATGCAAGTTTTGCAATTTGGTGGAGCCACAGTGCTTTGTGCACTACGGTATGAGATAAGGGCTATGAATGATACTTTTTATATTAACCTTTTAAACAATTAAATATATTTAAAATATATTAGCCAATCCACTGCTGGATGAAGTCTTCCACACGCCACAAATTTGTGGTGGTTATTTGACCGTACCTTACCAAACTGGTCGGCATGGGTTGGTAAAGGGAAGGCCCCAGGGTTGTTTGGGATATTGCTTGCCACTGATGTTAGTCTTGGCCAAATCCTGGTCCACTCGGCACTAGGGAAGTTAAGAGTGGCTGTCCTATGGAAGGATTCACCCCCCACCATAGGAATGCGGAATTCCCACCACTGACTGGCTCAGGGCAGCGGTAACAGCAGCTGAGTGGCAGAGCAGGCTCAATTGTGCTATTGAACCACGTTGACTTGTATTTTACATATGCATGTTTCTTACATATGCATGTGTTTCTTTTTATTTGTTGCAACGAAGTCAATTTATCTTTGCTTAAAGTAAAAAAAATGGCCGACGAGCTCTTGTTGCGTCATTAACCCTTTTCCATTTCGATGACTTACGTGTATGTCATCGGTTTTCACGTACGCCATCGGAGCGTAATCAGAAGAAAAACGCACATAAAATAACTTTATCGGTACCAAGGCTCCCACAAGGCCATGCGGTAGGGTGTGTGGCACAGTTTGGAACGAGCGATCATAGAGTGCGGTTGTGTCGCTACAGTTCTCTGCGGTGAGTGCATTGTGTTTAAAAACAACAGTGCTATGCTTCTCTAAAAAATGAACGCTAACCGCTTACGCGTTCCGAGATTCGGCGGTGAATTGGACCCACCCTGCAATTTGCAGTCGTCTCGGAACGGGAAAGGGTTAACAACGTGCTCGACAATCTGCGTGCTCTGCAGGGGAGGTGCTTGACATCGGGCTGGGCCAACAGCTGTACATGAGCTGTCTAGGAAGCGGCGTTCCAGTCGGTAAGCGGCTCGCACCAGCTGACTTCACGTTGAGGTGCACACCTCTCTTGCCTTCACGACACAGTGGGTGTCGTGTAACTTCTCGCTATATCAATTACACAAGCACTATCTCCTGTAAGTGCGTATAAGTAAAACAAAAAAGAGGCTATTTCGTGTTACACCGTGTGCGCCGTAGGATCTTGTAACAGTGCACCCTGTGGAATCTTATTCTCAGTTAGTGGTGCGTTATCGATTGAAAACGGACGCAAAAAGTTTGTGCAAATACTGTGAGTGGTACCTTTGTATCCAATACATGCCATATTTGTGCATGATTCCCAGCTCCTATATGCTGCTAAAAATGTGATAACATATTTAGCAAAATTTCACTCTGCAATGCATGTGAGGTATGGATTATAATTATGTTAGGTTTGTTTCTACTTTTTTTAAGTGTCTGCTGGATAATTCCCATTGCTGCCAGTATCAATGTTCATTGGCAAATTGAAAATCTGTATTTTGCACTGATGAGACCTCATCAATGTGCTTGTGTCTATTCAACACTGCTTACTGCTATCAGATTATCTTTGATGGCGTTGTGTTGATTCTGCAGAAAACGTTGTGGTCATTCTTCTTGCTAGAGATTAGATTAATGCAGCAATATTAATGTTGAACTCAACTCTGGTAAGCATGAATCTGTGCATTAAATTGCCGTCGAGAAATATTTTTCAGTACTAATAAAAAATTTGGCTAAATTTGAAAAATGTACCACAAATTACTTTGTTGGAATTAATGTAGGAATCATCACCCCCTACTGCAAAAAGTTGGCAGAGCCCTCCTGAAAAGGAGCCCTGATACGTATATTGAGGCTTTCCTGGGTTAACAAGAACAATAATGAATGTTTTACATGTTTTTAGAGTCCCTCAAATGTGTGAGCATCTCCATGTATTTTATGACACGTACAAAATCTCTCCACCCTTCAGGCCAACATTTTTCCATGCATTTTCATTGTTGGTGCGTCACTTTTATTCTGATTTATTTTGCCAAGTATGAAGTGCAATATATTTAGCAAAAACTATATTTTGACATGGGTTTGTCAAATAAAATTGATGAAGACAATACGATTCTTTGAGCACATTGTTCGAAAACTTGGAAATCCTACTAAAATATAAATCTATTCATTGGCAGTACATTTGTACTTTAAAAACAATCCATATGCGATGGTAATAATACATGATTGATTATGAAACTGAGCATGTGGATTTCTGCCCTGGATTTGTCAGATACACTTGACGAAGTAATGGAAAGCTTTTGTCAGATTCTCAATGGATTGTTAGTTGATGGGCCATGAACCAGATAAATATTGGCATTGCGCAACACTTTCCAGGAAATTCATATTCCGTGATGACATTAAATAAGAACGAATATGCAAAATCGGCACATTAAACCAGTGAGGCATACCGCGGTTGTTTTGCCATGCAAATTCTGCGTACACATTCAATTTCGAAGTTCTGACAACAGCCTTCAGTGGCGTTCTGTGTGGATGCGAGTGTGGACAGACGGATGCGCTGATAATCAATCCTGCGGGCTTGTTGTTCATTGCACACCGCTTGTCAGTGTTTGCAAAGCGTCGCTGGTGCTGTCTTGCGTACAAGCTAGCGCACAGAGCTGTGAGCACAACAACACAGCGTCAGCTTCGTTACGAACAAAATAGAACGGAAGTCGCTTTGTTAATTTAAGTGACGCAAAGAACGTGTCGCTTGTGTGCTCATTTGCATTTAATTACTGCAGTTGGAAAAAGGAAACCTGTTCGGATAACAAGCAGAACAAATACTGAAAATGGAAGCTGCTGGCAAGACGTATTACGTTACAGTACATGTCACAGTCGGGATGCTACCATGGTGTAATGGTTACCACACTGGCCTCTTGTCCACCCAGCAAAAATACATGGACACACCTCAGTCGGTCGACAGGCCACGTGTGGTGGGGTAAAATGTGGGTATCCTCTAGAGGGGGCTTTGGAACTAGAGCTCCCTCCATTAGAGGCCCTTCTGCTTAGCAGTGCCACGAGCAAGCAATTGCAGGGCTGCACCTTTAAATTTGTTGACATTAACAGTTTTAATTCACGAGCAGAAAGCTCATTGTACAAAACAACTTTTATAATGCAGGTAAGACCAAAATTTTCAGATCACACTCAAGGTGTAGACAACAAATATGTAAGTCCGATATTAAAAAGTGCAGTCGTAGACATTCATATATTGTGTGTGTTTTTTAAAGCATGGTAACCATAAACATCAATCCACTCAATTTCTTTATTTTCCTGGCCTAGAGATGGTTGCCACGTGCTCTGGTTTTCTCAGGCTTGTTCTCTTTCTTGTAGCTGTCCTAGGAAATCTGCAAGTCTTCCTGGGGCATTAAATGTCCAACATTTGTTGTCAGTTGCATAATAATAATAATATGCCACTCAAGACAATGCATCAGCACACTGTTCTCCCCTCTTCCAATATTGTGAGATCCAACGATATCTCCAGGTTTTTTTGAACCTCAGAGGTGGCAACTCTCATTTCCAGTAGAATAATTGTAAAATATTAATGAAATAGCTTGCTTTCTTTATTTTAGGAGTGATTACTTTTTTTTAATTAAGCACACTTCCTAATGTCACGGAAAAAAATGATCGATATTTTTTGCCTAATTTCAAAATGTGTTTTAGTGCTGTCGTGCACCACGGTAAGAACATGTTCAGTCGCACACTCGTGTAAAGCCACACCCTGCGTGCAATCAACGTCACGTTAATATCCCACACTGCGAATCGCGTTCATTTAGGTGCAAGGCAGGTGTAAGATATTAACGAGGCCTCGGTTACGGGGGGGGGGGGCAGGGGGGGGTGGGGGAGGCACCATCCTCGTGGCTCCATATTTGTATTTTTGTTATGCCCCGGAGGCGGCTCTGTTCATGCAGCGTCATGCCCGGCTGCTTATTTTGGTTTCGGACGCCGCGTCGGCGGTATCGCTGCTCTCCGCTGCACATTGCGCGAGGATTCGTAAGAGCCTCTTTGTGGGGAAGGCACATTTGCGTGTGAGCGCGTGCCTGATCGACTGCGCTCGTACATTCCCCTGCCGTGTCACGACAGCGAGGTTTTTGGCACGCTTCCTGGAACATAACTCGGCTACGCTGAAGGGTGCCAGTAACGTCTGCCCTTGGAGGGATGGGAGATGCTCCTGGTGCAAAGATGCGCTAACGAGTTGGAAAGGCCAGTACAAAAGGAATAATGCTCATTGAGGCTCCGACAAAGGAATGGGGAAGCAGTGGGGGGGGGGTGGGATAGATACAGCAATGTCCTGAAATGTATAACGCTGCACCTATTGTGTGTCCATTCCAGTTTTGTTTGATGCACCAGCGGGGATGTCTTCCGACATCTGGATTGCAATGCAGAAAGAGCTGTCCTCAATGACCAAGGTACTGAAGTAAACAAACAAAGTCGAAGATTCCCCGTGTAGCCTTAACAGACTGTTGAGGCAAGTGCTTTTAGCGAGCACCTATGAAGGCCAGAATGGCACACGAGGGGATGAGTGGCCAGGAACCACACCTGGCTGCCTTTGTCTGCCTAGTGGCGATGTTCACACACCGCACCAGGTACTCATTTCAGACTCAGTCGACCGAGGGGAGGCCCAGGACTGGTTCAGATAATCGTCACTGGTGTTGGCCGTGAGCAGGAATCGAACTCTAGCGACGTGAAGTGTCGAAGGCTCGCTGACAGGAGATCTCGAGACAGACACAGGTGCCATGGGTTGGCTGACTGAGATGACCGATAGATGCACCAGATATACCCCCTACTGCGAAAACACACATACACAGGTGGTGTGAGGAAGGAATGTGAGTATTCAGTCATTGTTTTTGCAAGCCATAGCTTTAACAAATCAAGGGGCTTCACTCTGCTTTATGTATGTATGTTGAACTTCTTTCGCACCGTACGTTGCCAACCGGGCTAGTCGGAGGTGCGGGAGGAGGACAACAGACTAAACACAAAAAGCAGTTTTGAAGAAATTAGTTTTCAATCTAGATTAAAAAGTGCATATCTTCAGTGGCTTCCTAATATCGTCTGATATTAGGAATGGGTTTTTGCTTCAACCTTGCCATGAAATTATGAAAATTACAATCGGTCATTGTAATGCAGAAGTGGTGTTCACTGTGTAATGACAGGGTGACACCTGCTGGCCTGGGAAGGGATTCACGAGTATGGGCACAGAAGTAACAACCAATCAGAGAAGGAGGTCTATCTGGGGCAAAGGTAACAGGTGGGATTAGCCGAGATGATCCGGGAATCCGCTCGAAGTTTCCACGAGAGGGCGTGGCCGGAGGCGGGGCCTAGCCACGCCTAGGGGGATATAACGGGGAGCGGACCCGGGGCTCGGGGCTCGCGTGTGGAGTCTTGGGTTCTGGCTGCGTCGCTGCTCGCCGACATTTTTCTCCGTCATCCGGCCACGTGGAAGATCCCCTGCGTGGTTTTCATGGCCGTCATCGTCACGCTGCCAACCGGCGGCGTAGCCGAGTGGGGGCGATGGGACCACGCCGATTGATCGGCTGTGTGTGTAGCCAGTAGCGGTGTTAATACCTAGAGTTATGCTCAATGTGAGGAAGAACAAGTGTTGGCCTGTGTTGTGCCCAGCATGAGTAAATAAAGAAGTACCCTCTACACGACGTGTTGCAGAAGTTGCTCATTACAACTGGAATAACAAACTATGACTCATTCACCAGCTGTTTGCAAATTTGAACCATGGCTAATGTGTGCGGAGCATCAATAGCTCAACATGCCCGTATGAGCCTGTGGCTGAGATGCAGCCTATTATTTTTTTCTAATAATATAATTTGTCTTCAATGCATTTCAAAAATATAACCGCTCACCGTATATATTATTGCGCTTTTAGTTATTTTTTTTTATTCGGCTGACCTTGCTGTTTTTTTATTGACCATGAGAGTTGTTTTTGTTTAGTTTTTCCTCCCCTGTGCTTTACTTTTGAAGTGTTTAATTCATGCCCTAACTCATCCGGTGCATTGAATGCTATCTCAAGGGGGCCACTCATCCAAGGAAAATAATTGTGGCTTCAGTCTAGCCCATTTAATACGATGGGACGACCATAACAGCAGCACATCTTGTGTATTTTATAAAATACTACGCTTGCGATAAATTCCGTTTGCTTATTAAGTGTACTCTTTTTTTATATGACCATATTGATTATTTAATTCCACGCTTTTAATTATCAACTAAGCACATTCGTGTCTTAAGCAAAAATCGACACATACTTTGAGCACAAACACATGCAATCTCTTCAAAATGAGGTTTGATAGGATTGAAATTAATAAGTAATGTCCTTTCTAGATTTGAAGCTTTCGTGGCTGCAAGGATCCATACTCTTTGGTTCTATTCGGTAAAGTCACGTAGGTAAAAAATAAAACAACATAAATCACGACGTTTCGGCCACGACACAAGTGGCCTTCATCAGGTGAAGGGGACCGTGCTGTCACGAAGACAGCGTTGGAATAAAGAAAGTCAAGCCAGGTCGCGTCCTTTAAGCTGTGAGGGAGGAAACCAAACTCTTTGACAAAGGAATTAGCATAAAGTGCTGATAGAACACTTAAAGTGCTGATATAACACTTAATACGGGGGGGAGGGGGGAGGGGAATTTGACAATGCAAACGTTGTCTTGAAGGGAAATAAGCTGCTGTGAAAGTTTGGTATATCACTACTTGGATAAATATACTGTACCATTGAAATGAGTTTAATGTTTGGTATGATTTAGAACATCTTTCCAATGATTGATTAATTTGAAACCATCTTCTCGGTTGAAATTGTGTCTGTGTTTGTAAATCTGAATTGCCTCGTGGACAAATCTCTGATGATAACCTGTGGGTTTGCAAATGACCTGGGTATCGGAGAACACTATATCGTGATCACCCACAGCGTTGTAACAGTGGTCAGCAGTACTTAACTCAGCCCAATTGGTCTCTATGGTCAAAGACGTTGTACTGTCCCCTGCGGATATCCTTGTCAGCTTCTATGTGGTCTCCCTGTTCACCAAGGTCCCGGTACCTGATACCATTGAAATAATTGAAAATTTGGTACAACATGGACTAGACCCCGATACACCTGCGCTGGGTAGACACTGCCTCACCAATACATACTTTACTTGGAATGGCACCTTCTACAAACAAAATGAGGGTACCCCCATGGGTTCTCCCTTATCGCCATTGATAGCCAATGTTTTCATGGAGAAATTTAAATCAGACGCCATCCAGACTTCCACCCTCAGACCTTCCCTGTGGAAGAGATATGTGGATGACACTTTCGTCATTTGGCCACATGGCCTCTCAGCTTTGAACCTTTTCCTACACCACATCAATTCCAGACATCCCGCCATCAAATTCACCATGGAAGTGGAGAAAGATGGCAAGCTACCATTCTTGGATGTTCTGTTTGAGAGGAGACCTGATGGCTCATTGGGGCATTCTGTCTGCAGGAAACCCACCCACACAGATTCCTCCTTGAAACCTGATTCCCACCACCACCCAGCTCAAAAGAATTATCTCATCAAAACGTTATACCACAGGGCTCATTGCATTTCGGACCAACACCACCTGACCAGTGAATTAAAACATGTACATCTGGCCCTCAAGAGGAACGGATACTCTGACCGTACCATCCACCAAGCTGTTTCTCCCTCCATACAGAAACAACCACTTGATACTCCGGTCAAGACCATCACACTACCATATATAGCAGGCGTTACTAAAAAGATCTCCAAAATTCTAAACAAACACAAGATCCTGGTCCGGTTCAATACAGTACACAAAATCCGTGACCTGATCCCATCCGTGAAGGATGTCATTCCGGACTTACAGTACCCGGGGTTTACAAATTGAGTTGTACCTGCGGTGATTGCTATATCGGGGAGACGAAGCGACATGTCTCTGACCGAATTCGCGAGCACAAATCAGATTTGAAACACGGCAGAACAAATTCTTCTGCCGTGGCTGATCACTGTTACAACGCTGTGGGTGATCGCGATATAGTGTTCTCCGATACCCAGGTCCTTTGCAAACCCACAGGTTATTCACCTGATGAAGGCCACTTGTGTTGTGGCCGAAACGTCGTGATTTTTGTTGTTTTATTTTTTACCTACGTGACTTTACCGCATAGAACCAAAGAGTAAGTAATGTCCTGTGCGTCCCAGATTATGAAACCCAATATACACAATTGCTTAATTAATTTCAACTTGATAAATGCTGTCGCCGCAGCCTGTCAGGTGTTTTGCGCGTGGCCTTCCTGTAAAGGGAGTCCTTTTACGAGTAAGCGATTACTCTACGACCAAAACGTTGACAAGAGTTGAGCAAATATTCATTGCTCTTATTCTTGGTTCTTTCGGTAAAGTCCCGTTGAAGGGAAACAATAAAATTATAAAAATATAAAACAATAAAATTCTCACGACGTTTCGATGGCAACACAAGCAGTCATCATCAGGTGTGAAAACCAACGGCAAGAACATTTGAAATAAGTGGCGGTTTGTATTTTATTTATTTATTTTTAAACGTTAGCACCACGGATAGCGATTTGACTGTTTAGATGGACGAGTCCATCTATATATTCTTAGTTTTTTCGGTAAAGTCACGTTGAAGGGAAACAACAAAATAATAAAATATATATTTTATTATTTTGTTTATTATTTTGTTGTTTCCCTTCAACGTGACTTTACCGAAAAAACTAAGAATATGAATTACTGCAGTCACGAAAGCTTTAAATCAAGAGTCCATCTATGTTCGGAAAAGAGGAGGGGGGAGACGAAAAATTAATGTATGCTGTCTGAAAGCCACCGTAAGCGTGAACAATCAATTAAGACCCAAAATGGTTTATCAAATCCGTCCAATGTTTTATATATATTTTATTATTTTATTGTTTCCCTTCAACGTGCCTTTACCGAAAGAACCAAGAATATGAATCGCTGCAGTCACGAAAGCTTTAAATCAAAATTCATTGCTCTTGTTAACTAAAAGCCGAAGGCAGGAGAAGCTGGATGTAAGCACACCTTACAAAAGCGGAGTTCTTGCATAAGCAGCACATCCTTACATTACAGTGCTGCGGAACGACGAGGGGAAAAGCTGCTATAAGTATACTTGTGTTGTTCCCAAGACGTATTTTAGGTCTAGCTTCTCCTGTATTTGGAAACGCGGTCTCAGAGCTGATGTAGTAATTTGGAACCTGATCTGCTTTAGATTGTTTTTTTGTTCTACTGCAGTAATGGTACCGCAATCGAAGCAAAGTACGTTCGGCACACTTGCCATTGGAATGTATAATTATTTTGTCCATCCATGGTGTAAAAATAAAAAAAAAATTGCGATCCGTTACATGTTGCGAACAATGACGCAGGAAAAACGGCACGGGAGAAAATTGGTCGGTCGATTAG